CCCCGCCCCGTGTGCGCGGCCCCTCCCGCCACGAGGGGTGGGCGCTCCCGCCCTCCCTCGCCCTCCCCCGTCCTCCACCCTGAGGAGCCCGCGCCTCGCTCCCCGCCGCCAGCCCTCGCGACTCTGCGGGCCTGGGTGCGGCACCCGTGGGGGGAAAGGCACTCGCTCATGGCAGGCCGCCCTCGCGCCTCTCGCGCTGGAGAGGCCGTGCCCGGCCGTGCAGCTTGTGCCCGGTGCTCCCACGCGTGCGCACGTCTGGGAGACGAGCGCGGCCGCCTTGCTGCGCCGCCCAGCTCGTTAGCCACGTGGCCCGAGCCGTCACGACGCCGCCGCTCTGCGTCTCAGCGGTATGGGGAGGCCCTCTGTGCCGCAGGCACGAGCACCTGCGATGTTCGGGGCAGAACTCCTGGGGCAATTTGATCGCCGTAACACTAGTCGAAAGCGGACTGGCACCGTGGAAACTCTTCGGGGCTCATTCCGATGGACAGTGCTCTCTCTTTCTCATTCTCATTCTCTCTCTCTCTTGCTCTCTTTCCCTTCTTCTACTCCTCTTTACTCCTCCTGTTGCTGCTGCTGCTCCTTCAGCTTGGATGGGGCATAAAAAACCTTGTCAACTTACCACCAAAGACGAGACATAGTTTGCGTGACGACAGCTACAACCTCGAAGCTTTTCTAGATCCAATAACTTGCATGGTGTCACCCGCTCGGAAAGCACATGCACCACCATGCCTCGCGCTGCTGGCCAACAAACACGCACGGTGCGCCACACCGCAATATCGCCGCGAGAAAAAAACGCGTCGTTACAGAAACCAGACTATGGGATCGCCTACGGTGTCGCAAACTCGTTCTTGGGGGCGCAACGCCACGTAAACGGTATGCCGACAGGCGCCCAGACGAACTTAAGACATCCAACTTCGACTCACTCCGACTCTCCGGCTTTCCAACCGTAATTAAGCATGCATTAGGAAGCATGATGCCATACTAGTGCTATGCGTCCCCCTTGCAGGCGCACGTCCGAAGCAAGCACATCACACAAGCATCGCGTCGTGCATGTTACCCAGGTGGTGTGGCCGGAAAGCGCCCCCTGCCACGGAGTGTAGACTAGAAGATCTCTGGGAGCTCGCGTCGCCCACGGGGGGCCGCCGCACAGGACAGTGCAATTATGTTTGGGTGATGCCGATGCATGTGGACTCCTTTTGCAACAGCGTGTGTGGCGACCTGACCAACATTCTCGTTCCTTGGACGTCCAGTATAATCGGCGGTGGACAAACCTCCCTTTAGTAAACCATCCTTTAGTGAAAACGGCCTAGGACCGAAACCGACGGACCTGGACCCGCAAAAATGAGGGCCGCGACGCCCTCTCGCGAACCGAAAACGGCCAATTCGCTAATCGACGTGTCAGGGTAGGAGGTCTATCAGCCTCTGATTTGGGTGATGCCGATGCACGCAGACTCCTTTTGCAGCAGCGCGTATGGCGACCTGACCAACATTCTCGTTCCTTGGACGTCCGACATTCTTTACACATCTCTTTCAGTGGCCGACGTCCGCGTGTCCCAAGGATGAGCGTGCGCAGACCTCCCCTCGCAGCGGCATTCCCGCATCCCCGCTTTCGATCCCGAGGTGCGGGCAGCACAGGTCGAGACCGGCGAGCCGACGAGGCGTGACACCGAATGCGCTCGCGAAGCCACTGCCCGCTGCAATTTTCCAGCCGATCTTGGAGACCGCCAGTGCCTTCCTGCTCGCTCACAGAGGCGGCAAGCATTGGCGCCCACCAGCTGGGCGGCCCTGGTCAAGTGAAAGGTGCGGCCCCCAAGCAAGCATGCGCTGGTCTTCGCAGAGGTCCCTCCGCCAGGGGCATGCCCAACGATGACATGTGCGAGCGCGCTGAGACCGCGCAAGGACACCGCGGCCACGAAGAAGCGAGAACTCTGCAGCACTCCATTCTCTCTGTGGAGCCGTTCGCACCAGCGAACCCGCTGCGGAATGCAGTGAACGCCGCACTCCGCTCGAGCCCCCCTCTTCCTCCCTGCCTCCCTCCCCCTTTCCTCTCCGATGGCGACTCTTCGAGCGCTCGGGCTCCTCTTTTCTTGCCGCTCGTGGCCCACTGCTCCCCCGGGCGTCGCACGCAAGCTTCGGCCAGTGGCCACGGGATGGAGCCCACGATCGCGGCAGCTTGGCCACTCCGAGGCCCGGGGGGATCGGGAGGCACGAGGCGCACCCTGTGTTCGTGACTGATGCCGGGGACTCCCCCCCGCCCCAACGGGGAGCAGCCTCGCCCCGTCGGCGCACCTCTGGGCATCGCTCGGACGTCCACTCCCCGTGTGTTTTTCGGTTTCGTGCGTTTTTTTTTTTTTTTTTTTTTTTTTTTTTTTTTGTTTTCCGCCACATGATCAAGGAGGCTCCTCGGTGGTCCTCGCCGGAGGAAAAATGCCCACGTCCGAGCGATGCCAAGGGACCCTGTGTTGGAGCGCCCTCGGCGCGCTGCGGCTGTACGTGTGGCGGGGTCGACCCTGGGAGGCCGGTGGGGGTGGCGCCCCCCCCCCCCCCCCCGCGCCTCTGGTGGAGCTCGGCGTACTCCAGATTTCGCAAGGAAAGGGATGGGGGTCACAACCCTCCCAGACGAGAAGTCTCAGACCCCCCAGACTATCCATCAGAGGGCGGCCCTCTGCCCAGACCCCCCCCGAACCCTCCAAGACAGCTCAAATTAGACCCCCCCCCCCGAATGTGACCCCCCCACTTTGTTATGGAATCCGGAGTACGCTTCTTAGTGTAGGAGCCCGAACGGCTGAGCGTTTTCTGATTCGGCGTTTCGGCATTGGGCGGAAGGGGGGGGTGGTCTGGGTTGGTGCGACTGTTTGCAGCAGTGCGTACCTATCGGGGAAGCCCCACCTGCTCGAAACAGGCGCCCAAAACAGCCCAGATCTAGTGCAGGGAGGGGGGGGGGGTGCGAGGGCCCGCGCCGATCGGCAAAACAATGAATAAGAAAACGGTCGCCTGTATGTTTACGAACCATCTGATTCTGTTACTCCGGGACAAGGGAATGTCTGCTTCGGTGTTCCTGGATCTCTCCGGGCCTCGGGGTGGCGAAACCGTCTCTAGCCTACGACGGCGCGGCAAAATGCGCAGGGACGCGCGCGCGCAGGAAAGAGGTGCTCGCAAGTCTTGAACTGTCGGCGTTCCTCTGCCCGGCGGCCGCAACAAGGGAATAGCAAAGTGGCCCGCGAGGGCGGAACACTGCCCTGGAGCCGTCGGGCGCACTGGAGGCCTTGCACAACACTATTTCAGAACCTGCCACGGGGGCGGAGAAACAAAAGGCGGAATCCAAGCGGGGATGACGTGTGGGAGTGGACGAAGAGGACGACGAAGTGGAGGACGAGCAGTAGAGGGCGATGAAGAGACACATGGAACGCGAACGTGGGTGAGCCTGGGGTAAGCACGAGCATCGCGCGACGGACATCGCTGCAACAACTACGCACAAGCCAGCCGACTGGAAGCGGCAAACGAAACATACAACACTGGAAGCCGTACGTCTGCTCTCCGGGGGGTCGGCGGTGTGGCGTACGACGCCTCTCGAGTAGACAACGCGAACGCTGGTGAGCCTGGTGAAACCATGAAGCGACGGACAGCGCTGGTCCTCAATTATTCCCTGCGTCCTCGGCCTCCTCTAACCTGGGCGTTGAACGTTATCGACGAGCAACGAGCAACGAGCGTCCACGCAGAAATCCAGCACCGGAGTCAAGAGGGAATAATGGTAAATCGAACACCGCTGGTGAGGCATGGGCAACCACTGGCGGCGAGTGCACCTGGAACTGCTACGGAACGATACTGTAGCCACTCGAAGTGCTACTAGTCGGTGAAACTTCCCTGCCGAAAGCTACAACAAAACTACATGCACAACGCTTTTTTAAATACCCTAGGTCAACATGCCGACCGACCGACGTGCACACAACAAAGTGCATCAATGATCGCTGAAGTGACCCAACCTCTTCCACCACCTCGCCTCTGCCTCACTCCTCATTTTCCTCCGTTTCGGTCCGCCCGCATCAGCCTTATAGCGGCCCGCTCAATTCGACAATCTGCCCTCGGCTCAGCTCAGTCGTCGTCAGATCCAGAGTCGTCGCTGAAGTCCGCAGACCCCTCTGAGGACACTGGGCGTGTGAGACTCCCTCCCGCTCCCAGTGGTGCCCCTTCCCCTCTCCACTGGGTCCAGGCAATTATTGAAATGAGGCGGAGGGCACTGCTGGTATGCTTGTTTTTCTGATGGGCTCATTCATGTGATGTCCGGATGATATGTTTTGGCTTCAAAGCGACCCGAAGAGGGGGCGTCAAATCGGCCAGAGGCGGGCCCCAGGACGGCCCACGAGCTCCCCTATTGTGTCTCAGGATGTCTTCGCACCGAGAGAGCTCCAAAGGGCCCAAGAGGGCCCCAAGCGGCCTCCATGATCCCCCACGAGGCCCCCCAGACGGCTAAAATGAGTGAAGCACCAAAGTTCTTCCACATGTTTTGGCTTTTGTACTTTTCGGACTGAAGAGGCTCCACTAGTACCTCGGAGGAGCTACAGAGATCCGAAGAAGGCCTTCAGACGGGTCCCCCAAGACCGCCTCAAGACAGCCCCAGACGACCAGGAGGGGCCCTAGAGGGCACCCCCAACAGGGCCCCCAAGAGGGCCTCGCGATGTGGCCAGGAGAGCCCCGCACGGCCCCACGAGACGGCCCCGCGGAGACCCAGAAGCGGAAAAACGCAGCGCCCCTCTCGGCCGCCCTGTCCGCGAAGCGGCGCGCATCGTCCCGTACCACGCGCCCGCTGCGAGGCGCCGACGGCGTGCGCGTGCCCGAGCTCGCGGCGGAGGGCCGCTCGCAGGAGCTCCCCGAGGCGGCGGCGGGGCTGGCCGGCGCCCTCCTCGCACTGCCGCCGGCGGGCCGCGCCGGCGCCGGCCTCGGCGGCGCGCCGCGCGCCCCGCCCGGCGAGGGCCCCGCGCGCGGGCCCGGCGGCGCGGCCGCCCCGCCCTCGGAGTCCGAGTCGTCGCTGAAGTCGTCGCGCACGACGCGGCCCGGGGTCCGCGGGCTGGCGCCCGCGCTGGCGGCGCTGCGCGGCCGGGGCAGGGTGGCCGCCTGCGGCAGCCGCGGCGGCGCGCCGCTGGGGCCGGCCTCGGCGGCCTCCAGGAGGTCGAAGGCCCTCAGGCGCGGGTCCCGCCGCACCTCGGCCTCGGAGAGGAGGTCGGCGGCGCGGATCTTGGACAGGCAGCCCCGCAGCTGCTTGTCGACGACGTAGACGCCGGGCGAGCTCTGCGAGACCACCCGGGCCGGGAGCCAGGCTCCGTGGGAGGACGACCAGTAGGACACCACCTCGCCCGTGGTGTACCTGGCAGCCCCCGCGGGGCCCGCGCGTGTCGCCCGTCCGCTGGCCCTGGCCAGCGTCGTCAGACTCCCTCCCCCATTCCCAGTAGGCCAGGGTTGCCCACTGCCACCAGCCTACCTCCTCGGGGTGAGGATCGGCGCCACGGAACTTGATGGAAACGGCACGTGTCCCCACCCAGGGCGGTAGGCCGGCCAGCGGGAAGATCGTGGTGTACCCAGACACCCGACGGTGTGATCTCTTGCAACCCGCGCCCCAATGGTCTCGGTCACCTCCTCGGGACATATTTTCTGCCCTGGATCTGTTCTTGATGGCTCCAGGACCCGACAACGGGCCACGGAGGCCGCATTCGAGGAACTCCACCAACTAATGAATCCATTAATGACGCCGTGTCCCCCGTCTTAGGCAAGCGCGCTCCACCACTCGCAAAGTAGATGCTCGCACATGGCCCGGATCCGCCGCGAGGGATCTGCGACACTTTACGCAAGCGGAGGATATGATTTTGTTGACTGACGTTTGCGAGTAGGCACTCTGCGAGTAATGGAACGCGTTCGGTTCGGGTCGGGCGAAAGGGGTAGATAGCAAAGGAGGGGTTTGGGAATCAGCTCACGTAGCTGATTTTCACGGCGCCTCCCGGCGCCGGGAGGCGCCCATGTATCGAGGAATGGGCCCGGCGGTGGGGCAGATACCAGCTGCATGCAGCAGATTTCGCACCCCCGCCTTTTCCCTATTCCCCCCTTTCGTTCGGCCCGAGAGGGGCCGAGGAGGAGGAGGAGGAGGAGGAGGAGGAGGAGGAGGAGGAGGAGGAGGAGGAGGAGGAGGACGGGTCTGTCGACGCTGGCCTGCCCTCGCCGCCGCCCCCTGCCGGCACAGCGGCCGCAGCCTGCCCCTGGCCCGTGCCGCGGGGCGGCGGCAGCGGCGGCCTCCGCGCGGGCGGGCCCTCCTCGGGGGGGGCGGCTCGGGGCGGCACGCGGCCCGGGGCGCCCAGCGGGCCGATCGAGATGGGCGGCGGGGGAGCTCCTCCGCCTCGAGCCGCCCTGCTCCTCGATCCTCGCTACTCCTCCTCGATCCTCGTCCTCGATCCGCCTCCTCGATCCTCGATCCTCTTCCTCGATCCTCGATCCTCCTCCTCGATCCTCGTCCTCGGTCCGGTGCGGCTCGGCGAAGCTGGTTGCGTGATAATCCCCCCCCCCCCCCCCCCCCCACACCAAACAGAAGCACGACTGCCCATGTTGGGCATATATTGGCACGACTGCCCACGTTGATCAGGAGCCACTTCTGCATCGTAGAGGGGGGGGGGGCTGGGGAGGGGCATACCATTTCTTGGTAAAAACCTTCTGCCGATTTGTGACCGCCGCGATCGCCGCGGCGCCCCCTCCCAATCGGCCCGGAGGCTTAGTTCGAGGTCGGATATCACGCAACGGTTAGCGGTCTGCTGACCCAGATCTTCGACGATATTAGCAACGACTAGAACCGCCTCTTACGCACGCCAGCAGACACAACAACCTCACGCCGCGGCTTCAGCGGGCCGCCAGCGTGGTATACCGCGTGGAGAAGAGGGGGCGCTTGCGCGCAACCTTACGTGGGAAGCTTGTGTGCGAGTGTCCGCGCAATTGATGAAAGGCCTCCTGAGTGGGGTCCGAGTAGGTGGGTTCGGAGGATCGCGCCGCATCGCCAATGCATCGGCGATGCGGCGCGATGCGGAGCCCGATTTTCTCCACGCAGCCTGGAGCAAGATTGATCGAGGTGTGCTCGGGAGAGGAACGGGGGGGGGTTGGCAAGGAGAGAACCTCTCGAGAGCAGCCGGGGGAGCCGAGAGGGGGGCCGCGGGTCCGATCCGTGCAGCGGCCGACGAGCAGTCGAGCGGCAGGGGATGATGATGATGATGATGATAATGATGATGATGACGATGATGATGATGATGATGATGATGATGATGATGATGGTGATGATGATGATGATGATGATGATGATGATGATGATGACGACGAGGAGGAGGAGGATGAGGAGGAGGAAGAGGAGGAGGAGGAAGAGGAGGAGGACCTAAAGGAGGACCCAGAGGATTACTATGATGGTGGGCCAGCATGATTACGGTGATGGTTGGGATGAGGTTGAACGGAGAAAAACGCAGGAAGGCGGAAGGGAACGCGCAAAGTAGGAGGAGCAAGCAACACGAGCAGGAGGAGCCGGAGGAGCCAAAGACGAGGAGGCGGCCGGACGCATCCGGGCGCTGGCTGGGGCGGCCGAAGTGCTGCCCCGAGGACGGCAGCGCAGGGGCACGGAGGCAACTCCTGGGAACTCTTGTCGTGGGAACGATTACGGCAGGTACGTGCCGTGACGACCCCAGCGTTGATTTCTGCTACCGCGTGGACGGTTCAGCCTTGAGCGATCGGTTGTTTTACGATCACCATCTCATGCCACATCGGACGGTTCTGGGCCGCCAGCGGCGTTCAACCTTGAACGCCCGCGGCAGAGGTCACCGCCGCGTCGGTACGACGCGAACCTTCCGTATGGACAATGGAGCCCGATCAAAGTGGATATTGAACTGGATCAGCCCAGATTACGCCTGGGATAGGACTGAAGCAGATACCTGGGATGACGCGGGATTGGGCTGGTTTTCGACCACGAGCGTGCTAGCGCCGATGCTGACTTCAGCCTCCCAGGAGTTGCAGCCTGACGCGCGCAGGGAAGGAAAGAGCAGCAGAGGGGGCAAGAGGCGGAGCGAGGGAAAGAGACAGGTCGGCGGCCAGGCGGGTGTCCGAACCGAGAAGCCAAGCGGTCTCACAGCGCGTGCCAAGGCCACGTCGTGTCGCTGGGCAGGGGCCTCGCGGTGCGCGCCAATCATTGCGGCGCCGACAGAGACACTGCTTGGCACCGACTTCTTCTGGCGTGGTGCATCTCGCGGCGGAGTTCGCAACAGCAAGGCCTCCGAATAAACGCGGCGCCTGGGACACCCGCATATCGGGTCCTGCTTCCCAGGCTTCCCTGGGTGCCCTGCCGCTGGCTCAAGGCTGTCACTGCAGCCCGGCGACGGAGATGAGTATCGTTTAACCGATCCCCATCCCCAGCGGCGTGGCCTGGGCCCCGCTGGCCGATTTACCCCCCTAGATGGGGATATGGGTCGTTCACTTCGGGTTTCGAGGGGTGTATCCCCAACTGGGGTGGTAATTTGGCGGGGGTCTCGAAGGGGATGGAGATGGGGATGGGGATCGGATAAGCGATACCGAGGAGAGGGCGAGGAGGCGAGAAGCAAGCAGATCCATTGCTGTTCGGAGACGCGCCCCAAGTCCTCCGAGCAACTGCGGCGTGGATCGCGCGGTCAGAAGGTCCTGCAGTGCGCACGGCGGTCGCATCAAGGCCTGCAGTCGCCGAGGGGGAGCGCCAAAGGGCGCAGGAGGTGTGGCAGGTGCGATGGGGCCTGCAGAGGCAGCCTTGGGGAGCAAGGCGCACACGTGCGCAGACACAGACACAGACACAGACACAGACACAGACGCAGACGCAGACGCAGACACAGCCACTGACACGCCAGGGCGACCCTGCCGACTCAGGCGCGACGCGGCTGGCGGCAGGAGGACAACGGCATGGTCGAGCTGGGCGGAGGTGATGATGTCGTCTCCAGCGCTGCTGATATACGTGGTATCTCGTGACGAGGCCAGACGCGGGCTCGCCCCAGACTTTCCCAACTGGGCGTGCGGCCTCGGTGGTGAGCGCTCTGACGCCCCTGGCGGCGGGCGCCGCTGGCCGACAGGGCGGACCGGCAGCGTCCGCGCCTCGCAGCGCGCGCTCCCACCGCGTGCCTGCCGAGCCAGGCGTGCCCTGGCTGCCGGCCCGTGGCCCGAGGTGGCGGGAGGCTCGACGCCGGCCGCGAGTGGGCCGAAGGGCCGCGGCAGACCTGCTCGTACGCCTCGGGGCCCGCGCGGGGTCGCAGCGTGTACCCAGAGGTGACGAGGGAGAGGAGGCGCGCGGCCGCGCCGAGATCCTCGGGGAAGGGCCGGGCCACGCCCCTCCCGACGGGGTCCTCCGCGTGGGCTGGGTGAGGCCGTCTCTGGGGCAGGCCCCACCGAGGCCGCTCCCCCTCGCCTCTTCAGGCCGCCTGGGCGCGCGCGCGCGGCCAGTCTCTCCTGCTCTCTGCTCCCCCCCTGGTGTCTGCCTACTGTGACCGCGGGGATGCTGCGCAACTCGCTGCCGAGACTGAGACTGAGACCGGCTACATCGAGTCCCGAGCGAAACGCTCGGCACAACGGCCGCAGAGGAGGAGCCGAATCCTCCCCCCGAGGGAGCTCGAAGAGCGCGGCCTCCACACGAACCCCCTAAAGCCACGAGGCAGACTCTACCACCGCAGCCGGGGATGCTGCGTAACTCGCTGCCGAGCACAGAGGGGAGACGGAGAGGAAACCGGCCGCCCCCCCCCCTACCCTCCGCCCTGGACGCCCTGGATCCTGGCAGCACCATCGTCTGCCGCCCGACATCTGCCCCTTTCTTGCGCAGAGCTCCCTGAGCTGCTCCGCACGAGCAAACGAGGCCGCCGCCGCCTCGAGGGGCGCGCGCCTGTAGCACGCAGGCCCTCTACGAAGGTCGGCTACACCCACGAGTGACCCTAGTCAAGGGTGGCCTTTGGTGCGCGCCTTTCGGGGGCCACGGGGGGACCGAGTGCAAGCGGGTAAGCCGCTTCACGCGCTGGGGGGATCCCTGTGGGTCCGCACCATAGGTCACTCTGGCACAGGATCGCTCTCACGCGAAGCCGAGACAGTTACAGTCGGCCTTGATTGGACAGGACACGCGAGAGGACACAAGACGCTTCCGAGGGCCACATCGCCATAGGAGTGCAAGAACGCACGGGTCGCGAGGCACAGGACACAAGGGTACCCTTGAGCTGGCAAGGTCGACCTACTAATCCGGGCCGACTGTACTGGGTGCTGGACTATGCCGAAGGGCGGCCCTCGCCGCCGGCCCCGCTGGGAGAGCCGGGGCGCCGCGGCGGTTTTCCGCCCGGCGCCGGCCGGCCTGACACCTACAGTCGCTGGGAGTCCGGGTCGGCCCGAACCTGCTGTATGGTGCGGGCACAAGGGTGCTCAGAAGGCAGCTGTGCAACGCCACCGTGCCTGGCCGGGCCATCCTTCGGCGGCGCGCCGAGGGGGAAATGGAGAGGGGGCAAGCCTTCTCAGAAGGGGGCAGGCCTTCTCAGAAGGCGGCGGGGCTTCTCAGAGCCCTCCCTGCTGAGCCTTTTGAAAACGCCCGCCCCCTCTGCCTTCCCCCAGGGCGCGCCGCCGAATCCTGAGCCCTGGTACGGGGTATACTGTCAAGCCGCGACCACAAGGAACGCTAAGTCAGGAATGAAGCTCTCCTTACCCCAAGAACGCCTGTGTGCACGAAACACAAGAAAGAGAATAACAGCCACGGAATGACCCAACGGACAACGAGCCCCTTCCAAACCCAAGGTTGTCCTCATCTCGACGTCTCGGCTGTACGCCCTCCTGGCCAATGCCGGGCGGCTCAACCATCCCTGTGGCGCAGCGCGGCCCCGGCAGGGTAAGGCGTTGGTACAGGCTACTCCTGCGGAACTGGAGGGCGGGCAGTCGTCATGACTGCGTGCGCCAGGTTCACTTGGACAGCGCCGCCAGCCGCGCCATCAGCGGGTCCTCCGCCGGCGCCTCGGCCGCGGCCGCGGGCGCCGCGGCCTGCGGCGCCGGCACCTCGGCGACCGATGGGGGGCGGGAAGGTCTGAGTTGGCGAGGGCGGCCCTCGCCCAGGAAGCAGAGGGGGATAGACGAACAATTCGCGCACGATTGTCTCCAACCATCCTGTGGTGTTGGGTCCTCGTTTTGAAAAGACAGCGCCCCGCGTCCACTCCTTCGTCCTCCCCCTCCTCCCTCCTCTCGCCATCATCATCGTCGTCATCATCGTCACCATCTCATGATCATCATCATAATCCTAATCATATTCATCATCATCCCAACATCTTCGTCATCATCACCGTCCGCTTTGTAATAAGCATCGTCATCGCCGTCATAGTCATCATCACCACCACCACAATCATCATCAACATCATCATTTTCATCATCGTCGTCGTCGCCAACGTCGTCGTCGTCGTCCTCATCATCATTATCACCACCATCACCATCACCACCACCATCATCAACATCATCATCATCATGAGCATGGGTATGAGCATGAACATGAGCATGAACATCATCATCACCACCATCATTGTCATCGCCATCATGGCCATCATCATCATCACCATCACCATCAACATGATCATCATCATCACCATCATCATCACCATTAGCATCACCATCATCACCATCATGACCATCATGACCATCACCACCATCACCACCACCATCATCATCACCATCACCATCACCAGCACCAGCACCAGCATCAGCATCAGGCATCATCATCAGCATCAACATCAACATCAACATCAGCATCAGCATCAGCATCAGCATCAGCATCAGCATCAGCATCATCATCATCATCATCATCATCATCATCATCATCACCATCATCATCGCCACCACGATCATCACCATCGCCATCAATTTCGGCGTACTCTCACACGTTTTGTGGCCCTGTAGGGAACTCTTTCGCGCAAATCATCCTTTCATCTTCCTCACTGAACATCGAAATCCTCAATTCGCATCTTGAGAGTCAGCCTACGTTCCGTCCCTTTACTCCAATCTCTCATCGTTTCGCTTGCGTGTTCGCTGTCGTCCCAAGATTTCTCTCTCCCTTGCGCCGCCCCCTCCCTCCCAGTCCAAGGCGAAGGCTTTCAAGAAAGTGGGGCTGTCCTTGACGAAAATGCCAGCTGGCGCGGGCAAGGGCAAGCTGGGCGCGGCGGCTGGCGATGGCATGATCACTCCCGCGAAGGAAGACCCGAGGCGCTTGCTCAGGGCCCGCAAGGGCGACATCTCGAACATGGAGCTGGACGAACGGCTCGCGCTGTTCCGCCGCGGCCTTACCAGCGAGGGCGCCATCAGCCCCAATCGCGCGGACAAGGTTTTGCCTTTGGAACATGCGCAAGGAAGCTTGTGGCCTCTCACCTCCTGCCGTGTTTAGTGTCTTCTTACTCTTGTGGTGTTTTCCTCGCCCATTTTTTTCTTCATTGCTTCTGCGACATCCAAACTATTGTGCACCCCCACCATCAATCTCATAAACCTCATCTTGCGCGTGCGTGCGATTCCCGCAACCCCCCCGCCTCCTTCATCGCCGCAGCCTCATCCGCTAACGCGCGTGATCCGTCTTCCAGTGCTGTGATTAATGTAGCCCATCGTTGCCTTAACATTGTGGTCCTCATGTTCCATGGAGCGTTGCTAGTTTTTGGCGGGGGTGGTGCGCGCGCTGGTTCTTGTCGCCATGCTGCAATCTCTTGGCCCCGTGCGCCTCTCCTTCACCTCCTCCTCCTCCTCCTCCTCCTCCGTATTTTCATCATTCTCCACTTCCTCCTCCTCCCCCTCCCCCCCTCCTCCTCCGCTTCCTCCCGATGCACTTACTCCTCCTCCCCTAATTCTGTCTGGTTTGGACCAATGCGTTGACCTGGGCCGACATGTCACGGACCGATGTCACAACCTGCGTCGACGCCTTTATCCCCCTCCTTTTCCGACGTCGGCGTCTCCCTATCCAATCGCGTCATGTCGTCGTGTTTTGTCTGCACCTGCCTCTGCGACCTTTTAACGCATTATTCTCAAGGCCCCCATGATCCCTGCCGTCGTCATTTCGCACGCCACTTCGTATCCCATCCTTTGGGGATGCGATGTGGCATACTGAAACATGAACCATGGTAGCACAAATCATTTTTTCAAGCGGTATGCCGATGCACGCTGCGTCGGGCGCAGGCGTCGGGGGCAACGCGGCGGCGTCGGGCGCGGGCGTCGGACGCTGAGGTCGGGCACGGCCTTTCAAAGAAAGCTGTGCGTGTACCCCGCCTCGTGCTTGACCGCGTCCGGCTCGTCCTTGGCAACGTTCGCCTCGTACTTGGCCGCGCTCGCCTCGTGCTTGCGGCGTTTCGCCTTGCCGTTGGCCGCGTTCGCTTCGTCCATGACCGCGTTCGCCTCGTAATTGGCCGCGTTCGCCTGGCCCTTGGCCGCCTTCGCCTCGTTCGTGGCTGCCGTCGACCCGTCCTTGCTTGAGCCCGCTTCGTTCTTGCTCGAGCCCGCGCCGCTGGGGTTCGGGCGCGTCTTGGCCGTGATTTTCTCCCTGGGCGCGAGCGTCGGTGTCGACGGCGCCTGGCGAGGCGCTTCGCGGTGGTGCTGCTGCGCGAGGTCGTGCTGGTGCTGGTGCTTGTGCTGGTCCACGCTGGTGCTGGTCCACGTTGGTGCTGGCACTGGTCCGCGCTGCTGGTGCTGATGCTGGTGCGCTGGTGCTGCGGATGGCGCTGTGGGTTATGCTTCGGACTTCATTGTTGCCGCGGGTTCGGCTGCGTGTTGCGCTGGTTGCGCTGTTCTCGCGGGTTCGGCTGCGTGTTGCGCTTGTTGGGCTGGCGCTGCGCGCCAGGCTGCGCGTTGCTGCTTCAGGCCATCACCAACGATCAAAATCGTGCGCGGTAGCGTTGAATGTAACCCCCGCGGTTCGATGTCTCGCTCTGGGGGCCTGATGCCCAAACGCAGGGTCCCCGACACTGTGGCGAAGTAGTCGCCCCGAGGCTAGCCCGCGCCGAAATATTGCGGTCACGTTGGACGTATTTGTGGGGCTAGACGCATCGGGGATGCAGGTGTGCATGCATCTCTGTGAACGCCTTATTTTGCACGTGCGCATTGCGCCCTTGGCCCGGGCGCGCGGGCCCGAAGGGGCAGGGGCAACTCGGGGGGCGCGTGAAGGCGGCGACCAGCAACGAAAGGAACATGCTGATGATGGGAAAGGGGGCAGGGTGTAGGAAAGGGGGGTGGGTGAGGATGCCGGGGGCGCGGTGGGTGAAAATGGTAGCTGGGGGGGGGGGGGGGAGTGATGAAAGCAAATGATGATGCGGCGGGCGGGTGTATCCATGTCTTAATTGACGATGATGAAGGTGTGAAGGTTGGCGATGGCGAAGGCCATGGCATTATGCCCCCCCTTCCCGCCCAGACCGAGACGATGGCGAGGCTGCGGCGCCAATTGGAGCGCGCTGGGTTGCCTGCTCCTCGGCGCGCTCGATCGGGGATGGTCGATCGGACTGGTCAGGCCAGAAGACCGCTGTCGTCGGGGGCGTCGTCGTAGGCGTCGTCGGCATCGGCGTCGTCGTCGTGGCCGTCGCCAGCGTGGTCGTTGTATCCGTCGTCGAAATCGTCGTCGCCATCGCCGTCGCCGTCCTCGTCGTCGCCTTCATCTCCGTCGTCGTCGTCGTCGACCGCGTCGTCGTCGCCGCCGTCGCATTCGTCGCAGTCGTAGTCGTCGCACTATCCGAGGTGAGGCGTCCAGCGCGCGGGCCCGCCAGAGAAGCGGAGCCAACAGTTCGTCGACAATGGGTGCGCCAAGGGCAAATGCGAGAAGGCGCCCCGCCCGTCGGCGATGGGGGGCTTCACCCACCTGGAGACGGGCGTCTCGACGGCCGAGGCGACGACGCGCAAGCGGCTGAAGATGGGCGGCACCAGGATGGCCGGGTTGCAGGACCAGGGGCTCGTGCGGACCATGGTGTCGCTCCCACTCCGGAGGAGGGGCTGCGCTCCGACGAGAAGGCGCTGCTTGCGTCCGCGAAGAAGAGGGGGGGCGGGAAGTCCCCCGATGACCGCGTCCAGCCAGAGGTCACTGGCGGGGGCGAGGAAGGCGAAGAAGAGGGGGGGGAGGATAAGGCGCGCGACTCCGAAGTCGAAGACGACGAGCAGCCCCTGAGCAAGGGCAGCCAGCAGCACGCGAAATTATTGCAGGGGTCCTGCGAGACACCCGGCCAGAACCTGCCCCTGGATCCCCTCGAGACGCCCAGTGTATTCTAGACCCTGGATCCTCTCGAGAAATCCTCTCCCAAGACGCCAATTGTGCAGCTGTGTATCACGTGCGTGGAGGGGAAGGCGGCCCCGGCCCATCGGCTTCTGACCCTTCCGTGGGCGCCTTTCTGGCCCAGGGTGGTCGTGGGCGCGGCGCGCCCGTGGGGCGGCTGGCCGCCGTCGCGCGGCGAATCCTTCGAAACGTATGGGGGCCCGTTTCGAGGAGGTCGGCTGAGGGTTCATGTCAGCCCCGGCGCCCGTGAAAATGACAGGTGCTGCCGTGAGTAGCGGGGTTCGCAACCGGGAGGTCCATCCTGCCGCGCAGGCTGGTTGTGGCGGCGCATGGCGAAAGAACTGTCGGCGCGACCTGCTCGCCATCGACGAGCGGCAGGTCTCGGACAAGATCGCGCCCCGTGCGCGCCGCGTCATGGCGCCTCCGCCTCTGGGGAACTTCGTAAAATGAAAACCTGGCGTGGCGCCGAGAACGTGACGTGAAAATCGCCATCCAACAAAAAGAATGCGGACAATTGCTGAATAAGAGCGCCTTGGAGTTCGCGCCGAGCCCGAATCGTGGAAATTGCTTGGGGTCGGGCCAGCCAGGCGCGCGTGAGGGTCAACGGCCCGACGAGGCCTCCGCGACTGAGCTGGCGCCGCGCCCAATGACGCACCCCCGCCAATAGCTGGCGCCCCCGGCCTCGGAGGGCCCGGGGATGTTCCGCGAGCTCGCGGGCTTCGACACCCGCCAGGGCAATGGGGCGGGGCAGGGGCGGGGGGCGACGAGGGCAAGGGCGGGG